ATCAATGATAAATCTTGTTTTTAGGTTCATAATAACGATAATGAACTTAAACATAAGTTATACTTAAAGTATGGCAAGCATAACTCACTTACAATGAAGTATAGCGAGGAACCGGGGTCTGCGCGGGCATAACTTATTAGCCGAAAGCTCTTCTTCTCGGGGCCTTCTGGCGCTCCATGACTCACTAATAACACCTAGGAGGTGCTAGGGAAAGGCTTAGAGGGTTTGGGGTGTTTGGGAGAGAAATGGGTGAAGAGATGTGAGAAAAAGAGTGAAAAACGCCTTCTATTTATAGGCCGCCAGCACCCAGTACGTTGAGCGTACTCAAGAATTACGCTGAGCGTAACGGGTTTTTTAAGGGTTACGCTGAGTGTACTCAAAATTACGCCGGTCGTAATGTGCCACGTGTCGCGATCTCGTGCAAAGCCGTGGGGAAGAAGTATTGGCTAAGATCTTGCAACGTGTCACTCACTGGTTTATTCCAAAATTAATTTATCTTCTAAAATTCGTAACTTTCGCATACGAGCTCTGTTTTTGACATTCTCTATATCCATGTGTAGGTAGCAACGTGATCTACAACTTTCGTTTATACTCCGTTGGCTAATGTTGAATTTATTTATAAAGCTATATTTTAACAGACTTAGACAGTAAAAGTCCGTTAAAAATTCATAACTTTGTTATCCTACGTCCGTTTTCGTCCGTCTTTATATCGTCGAGCTCCTATTAACGAGATCTGAAATTCTCGTTTAGGTTGTGTTGGCTAAAAATCGATCGATCTAAAATTAGATTTTCGGACTGTATACTGCTATGCTAGATCTTAGAAAAATCATAACTTCCTCTACTGAAGTCAGATTTAGACGTTCTCTATATGCACACTCTCGGTTTAACGTCTACTACAACTTTTGTTTATATTGCTAAGGCTAAAAAGTACTTCGTCAAAAAATTACTTTTTACGATACTCGGAACCGTGTCGGTTTAATCGCGAAACTTCTCATACTCCACAAAGCCCCAATTGGCCTTTGGGCTTTTTCAGCAACTAAGTCCAAATTTGTCGATCTTTTTAATAACATAACCCGAGCCTCGAAATCATTTGGAGTAGCTACCAAAGAAGCAATACTGCCATCCACCTTTTTAATAGCATTTTCAAACAATTAACTGGAATGCTGGAGGTTTTTAAACAAACTACTTATTCATGTAAAATAAAGTTTATGAAAATTTAGATTAAAAGAATGAATTTAGTTCTGCAGTGACTCATAATCCTGCATATAATCAATCAATCGTAAGCTTTGATTGTTCAAATTGTGTTATGTCTACACTCGTACTAAAAATCATTAACAAGGTCTAATAATTTTTTTTTACCAAAAGTTCTTAATCACATAAGTTCTTAATTGAGTTAGAACTTAAAATTCCAAGTAAAGTTATATCAGTTTATATTACATATTATATTAGAATCAAATCCTATACTAGAGCCAATCCAATACTTTTTACTTATTACAGGTAGATTTAAACAAGTAAGGATTTTAATTACTGATTAGCTAGAATGATCAAAGCATAATTCATGTGGCCAATAAGAACCAAATAAAAATCAAACATTTTATTAAGAACAAAACTGATAAAACTAGACATAATCATAATAAAAAATCAAGCATAATGATTACAATACATCAATATTATTCGAGTCGTACGAAACTGAAATATAAGGTTTTTTCGCCATACATGGCTAAAAAAGAATAAGAAACAAAAAAAGATTAATCTAAACTACAAATCTTACTAAACAAGATGAAATGGTCGGATTGCAATCTTTCGATCTTCGAAAATCATCGGAAAAATCTGAAAATCGCATGGAATTCATCAGAAACAAAGTCTAACTTGATCAGGAAGTAAATGGTCGTATTTATAGGCAACAAGCAACACCATATAGGGCTACAGAGAAAAAGACCGTGTAATCAGGAAACACGATCGTATAAACGTTAAAAACATGTTTCGAGTCAGTTTAATGACGTACGTTGCTATTTTGGAATGTTAGGACAAAAACACAACTATGTTAGAGGAAACATGACCGTGTAAAGGGTAATTTGGTATGATCTGAAATTTTAAGATCAGAATTTTAAGAGAGATGAATTTCTAAGAGGGTCTAAATTTTGCAGCTTATCTTTGTATAGATTTTCATTCTGTTGTGCCTACAAGAAAAAAAATATGGCATCTTGATGAATAGGTATGTATCAATATAGCAATATACTCTTACTTTTTTTTTCTTATTAGGATACTGTATCCGATTTGGTATTTTGGAGGATATTGGTAGAAAAGTAGAATGATATAATAAATAAGTCAAAATAAAAGAACACTGGTATTTCTGATGTGACTACTTTTATTTGTTTATTAATTTTTATGTGAAAATAAAAGAAGATTTTAAGATGTGGATGAATCTTCGAGCATAACGGTTACCATGGAAGGTGCTGATGTGGTGAATGGATTGGAGTATATGATGTCTTGTAGCTCATCAAAGGTACATATATAATATTCATCTACCTTTACCTTGACCACATTAGAGATGATATTGTTTGAACCGTAACACGCTTACTATATAGGTTTTGCCATATCTCATCCTTCATAACCATCTTCATACCAATTTAGACAGATTTTTGTTGAATGTTGGCTTACTCTAAGCCAGATAGAGACTGCCTCCACATCCAACCATACTAGTCTTTTTTTAGTAACAATATTTTAGATTAAAGTTTTTACATGAATTTACAGTAGGGATATCAAATAAACCCACAAACCACCCTCATATCTAATATCTACTTCTATGAAGCCCTCATTTTTCCACAACCTTATTGCATTTCACTCGTTTTGACAACAAAATTCCATGCAGTAATATCAATAACTTCATCTTCCTTTTCTATCTTCATAGGAACCTAATACCGAGTCTGTTTATGTTTATATATATACATGTACCATTTCCTTGTTAATTTTACGATCAACAACATATATACCAATCCTCCCTCACACCAAATTATCAATGAATGAAACCCTAAAAAAATTTACGAACCCAAAAATCTTTCCTAGTCTGGATTTTTATTTTAGATTAACACATTGACGACTTTGCCATGTTTTTAACAAAACCTTCAGAGATCACTAGACCTTATATGATTGAGGAAATTTGTAATATAGATAGCATGAGAAACACTGCCTACCTTGTCGAAGTTCTTATGATGGCGTAAAAAACATACATGAACTACTTTCTCTAAACTAGGATAACTAATCAGAAAACCAAATGGATTCTTGAACTCCTCTTTAGAACTCTATAATTAGGATAACTAAAGGTGCGTTTGGTGAGAAGTCATCCGGATCAAATTTTCGGCTCAAATAACCTACATATATAAGAAATGGACTAAAATTGATGCCCTGTTCCATCATCTTCATCGTCATCTAAAACGTTGATCATCCCTTATTTTATCATCATAGCTAGGTAGCGATGTTGATCTTGAGACCAGTTAGACACACTCACACACTTGCACATGTACAACGAGCGGAGTAAGCAAAAGCAAAACAGAAGATGATTTCTAGACTAATATAACTAAAGTCCCAAGTTTTTGGCACTAAATTGGAAAAAGCCTTGAATTTAATTTTTTGTTTACTATGACCACAATATTTTCGTGGAATTATGGCGAAAGGGCAAAGTGCCGGTTTCACCAGTTTCACCAGTTTCAGCAGGTTGCATAGCTTAGTCGAACGTTGGAGGTAGTTGTTAGCTAGGATTTGGTTGATTCTTTTCTCCAACGTCAAACCAAAAAGATGGTAAGCTCCTCCAACACGCACACACAAGGGTACAAAGAATGAGCTTTAAGGAATCGTTGGTCTGAAGATTTGAGATGCGAATATGATGAACCTGCGACATTCTCGATCTCCAAAACTGTCGATAATCCATGGAGGAAATTCAGGGGGTGTCCAAACTATCAGGTAATATTAAGTTTCTTACTTTTTGTGGTCTTGTTGAACCACTATGAAGAAGTGGTTGTTGTGTAGGACTCCAAAAAAAATGCGAATTTTTTTTATGGCTTGATCCACCACTACCAAACACTTACTACAAGGAAACTATGTGGAAGTTCCATATGGATTTGGAGGAGGCTAAGAACAATAAAGCATTGGGAATGGAGATTTTGAAGCTTTCGGAGGAGGCCAAGAACAACAAAGCAGTTCAAGTGGATATTTTCAACCTATTGAAGGTGGAGCTACTTATGATGGTCATGCTTTTGGTGGTGGTGGTTGTGATGGGGTTTATGGTTCACAATGTTGTGGTTAAAGCACTGTGAAGTTGTGGGCATTAGTTAGGTTTAGGTGGAATGATAGTAGTAGTAGTTTAGGTGTATGGGTATTTTGGTCAAGTCAGGCAGTAAGTAGATGCATGTGTTATGTATGGTAATATTTTGGTTTTGTAAGAGATGACAATGACAACAACTTATTATGTCTTAATGATAACAATGTATTAAGTCCTTTAACACATACATATGTATAAAAATAACCAAATCATGGAAGGTAACAACAATTAAGTCCTTTAACACATACATATGTATTAACCTAGTTACCAAACTAACCAAAACATGGAAGGTAATGACAATTATAGTGATCAAGGCATATATATTGATAAATTAACAATCATACCATGTCGTTTACAAAGCTTCCCAAATATCAATGTCAGTTAACAGCCCAAAAAGGGGAATGTACTTTACAAAGCTTCCCACAAACCACTACCATACCATGTAACCTAATTAGAACCAAACTTCCAATTCTACCAAACATTATGGACATGAATTGGAAGCTTGTTACCAAAAGACAAGTGTACCAAAAGTAGATGTTTACAAAAAGGGAAACCTATTTAGTAATGCCCATTCTTAATCTAAAACCCAAGGGGTTTTGGAAGAACCACCACCATCAGCATCTTCAACCATTTTGCTAAGCTTCAGTTTCCTAATTCTTTCAGAGGGTTTCCTATTTTTCTCCTAATGGAAATTGTAAGAACTAGGACCCAAAGGTATCATTCTTGCTCCAACGTCTCTGTCTTCAACTTCTTCTTCCTCAACCACTCTGTCTTCAACTTCTTCTTCCTCAACCTCTCTCTCTTCAACTTCTTCTTCCTCAACCTCTCTTTCTTCAATCTCTTTCTCCTGAACATCTCTTTCATCAACATCTATTTCCTCAACTTCTCCATAAATCTTGAATATGGCAGGCTAGTTAGTAAAGCTACAATATGAAAGCCAAAAATAGTGTAAAAACACATACCTCTTTCATAGCAGCCACTGCATCAGCATGTGTATATCCAGATAACAGCAACTCCTTTAAAGTAAGTCTTTCACTCACCTTCACCTCATTGTCATTCTCTTGTTCCTGAACATCCTCTTTTGCTTGACTCATAGGTTGCTTACCATGGGTAAAAAGATCATCAAAATCCTCATCACAGGTTAGGGACACATCCTCCTTTGCTTGACTCTTATGTTTCTTACCATTAGGTGTTTTATTTGGTGTTTTGTTCCTTGATCCAAACACTTTAGCTTTCCCTCGTCTCCTTGCCATCATCTTAGTCCTTGTTATAGGAATAACAGTAGGACGACCTACTTGATCACCAGATTCTAAAACTGGGGGAGGAGCAACATCCCTTCTTGGTATAGCAGGCTCACCATCTCGATCACTAGATTCTGAAACTGGGGGAGGAGCAACATCCCTTCTTGGTATAGCAAGCCCAACTGGAGGGAATTGGTCAAAGATAGGTTGGCCTCCCCCATCTTTCCTAGGTCTTCCAATCTTCCTTTTTGGGACAGGGGGCTTAGGTACCTCATCATTTGTGCATGCAATCTTATTATCCCCAAGTTGTTGGTACTTTCCACACCTCACAGTCCTAGGAACCTTTAACCTTTGTGAGGGGTATTTGGCATCTTGTGAGTCAAATGCATGCTTCACTGTCTTTACTTTGGGTCTTCCAGGCATCCTTCTAACTGGGGGTAATAATGGTTTAATAAAGCCAGTCGTTGGCCACAAGTTTCTTCTACCTACAGGTTGTATGTTCTGACTGTATGTTGCAACATATTTGTCCTTGTGGAACCAAGAAGAAAGGAATTGACTTGGATCTTTGTGGGTATAGTTGATTGCAGCTTGACTATGCACACATGGTATGCTCGAAAACATCCACAAGTTGCAGGTGCAAGTGTGAGTAGCTAAATCAACCTTGTATCCATTGTAGCCATACCTAGTCTCAAACACATCACCACCACTTGGCACCGCTGTCCACAACCTACACACAAGACAAACAAAGTACATATATAAACAGTAAATTCTTAATATGTTTGGATACATGCCCATAAAAACTTATATTACCTCATATATTTCCCAAATTCATCAAGCTTCAGTTGTATGTTAGGCCTACAATTACCCCTCCATTTGGCTACTTCTTGACCTTGATGAAAAAACCTTTTCATAAGGAGAATCCTTATTTCCTCAAGCATTATGAGTAGAGGCTTCTTCCTTATTTCTTTGATCATGTCATTGAAACATTCTGCAACCCCATTCTCTACTGCTTCACAAGCATACCCATGAGAAAAGAATGCTCTGCACCAGGTTTCAGGTTTCCTTGCCATAAGATAGGTGTATCCTGATTCTATTATCTTCTTTATCTTCTCCATTGTAGCAAGAAAATCCCCTTCCATTGTACTCATAACAGCTTCCCAGAACAAATTCTTTAGCTCTAATCCTGTGTATTTCTTCCTAAAGTTTGCAAAGATGTGTCTAACACATTGTCTGTGCTCAACATGGGGGAGTAGGTTTGCCACAGCCTGTAGAAGTCCCTATAATTAACAAACAAACACAACAAATGTAAAATTGATGAGTGTGTTGGATTAGGTGTCTAAGCCCATAACTATTATTGGTATGTATTCGACCCGAGAGTAGCATGGTCCATTTGGGTTGCATATCATCAGGACAATTTGTTAGGATGGACTTTTGAGAGAAGGTTATTTATGGTTTATTATTATATTATAAGTAATAATATATTAATATGAAATCATATGTTTTAATTAGTAGTGATCAAGAATTAATTTGGAATTAATTTAGTGGTCGAAAGAGACTAATTAAATCTATGGGGACTAATTATGATAATTAGTTATATTTATATGTGTTGGGCTTATGATCCATGTTGGACCAAGTTTATGTATGGATACATAAAGAGTTGGGCCACATGAACCATGGATCATAAAACCCATGGGTATGGATTTGGGTTATATCCATGACCCTAGAAATCCCACATATAAATAGATACTTCATTGCCCAAAATCGCCACTTGTATCTTTTTAGAGTTCATGGTGTCTTTTGTGTGCATGGAATTCTCTCTCAAGTTCATCCTTTGTCCATGGTGTGTTGTGATTCCATTTGAGGCTTCCACACTATTAGGGCTAAGCTCTTTAAGGCCAAATACACCAAGAATTCAAGCTCCATCAAAAGGTATGTCATGCTAACTAGTATATTATAATTTTATGTTAAATGCATGCTAGTTGTAAGATTAATACCTTGGAAACCATTTGCATGTATAATTAGTGAAAACATAGATCCAAGGTATTTAGGGTTGTATGTGCACCATAGGATGTTGTAGTATACCAAAACCCAACAGTGGTGTCAGAGCCATGGGTTGTTTTCAATTATACTTGATGCAAGTTGCTGAAAAAAAAACTGAAAAAAATCGAATTTTTTGCTGTCGGGACAGCAGACTCGACGAGTCCAGTGATGGACTTGACGAGTCCATGAACAAATTCATCCAACTCGTCGAGTTGGTTCATGCACTCGACGAGTTGGACCCCCTGACAGCTTATCTTCGAGTTTTTTGGCCTGTTTTGGATTAGAATCATTACCGCAAAGTGTTTTTGTTCATAAAATTTGTTTTTTGATACTATGGTAATGTTTATTCTCATCCAAATAAAGGATAATAATCAAAGTTTCAAGTTTTATACATGTTTATATGATGCTTGAAAAATGTTGATTATGAATGTTCATGTTTATGAGTTTGTTTAGATTAATAGGAAAAATTATGAGATAGTTGTTTTCAATCCAAATTAATCTTGAAGTTGTTCATAATATGTGTTTTTGTAACTTGTCCTCAAGTTACATGAAAAGTCACATTTATGAATTTTAAAACCCATAAAAATTCCATAAGTTATGAAAAAATGAAGAGTCACATTTTTAATGCTTTTAAAGTCTTCCATAACTTGTCTACAAGTTATGGAACTTGAAGGGTTTTTTCCATTAAACCACTTTAAAATTCATAAGTTATGGAAACCATAAGTTTTTTTGAATTGTTCAAAACTTGTCCTCAAGTTTTGGAATTTGTAAAGTCAAACCCCATATACACTTTAATTCCAAACCCAAGAATTTTAAAACTTAAAGTTCAAACTTTATGGACTTCATTAAATTAATTAAAGTGTCTAATTAAAAGAGTTAATAATTCCATAAAGACATGGTTTAAGTTTAATTAAATTAAGAGTATAGTTTAATTAATAGATTAAACCACCAAGTATTTTACCCTTATACTATTAATATTAATAGTTAATACTTATATATATATATATATATATATATATATATATATATATATATATATATATATATATATATATATATATATATATGTATAAGAACAAAGTCAGTCTTACCGTTAGTAGGCCTCATTCACGAAGCCGGTCTATAAGGGGGGTATAAGGTTACTGCCTATAAAATGGCAGTTTAATGGGTGTCCACTCTCACCCACCGCTTCCTTGACCGGTGGAGGGTCGTTAGCCGAACGGGTAGGACAAGGACTATAATTCTCCCTTCATTAAAAGTATTAATGATAAATACTAAGTAACTAAACCTTTTATAAATACCCAATCTTAGTTACTTAGGAAAAAGTGAATAAGGTGCTAATCCATGAAATTACACTTTGCACTTTGTTTAAGTCGGTTAGTGGAGCGTGTGTGGTTAACCGGCACACTAACTCGTATTTAACAAGGTAGGCAAAGGGTAACCTAATGTTTATCATAGTATCGATGGAGCGTGTGTGGTTAACCGGCACATCGATTGAGGGGTAAACACTTAAGGGTACCAAGTAATTTGCATGGTTACTTCACACCTTGTTTTGTGATCCTCGGCATCCCAGTCACAAAACCTGAAGGGCACACTCGAGATTGAAACATGCCATTGAACAGTTCAATGAATCTCAAAGATCTAGGAGTTTCAAAAACCAATTAAAACCTAATAATATATATTTCGTTTTCATGGTGGAAATTGGTGAATCGTCATTCGCCTACCTTCAAATATTTTATAGCTTGGATTACGGCATCCCTCTTCCAAGTTATAAAAGTATTGTGTTGGGTCCTAGCCTTAATATTTCATATTGGGTGTTATATTAAGGACTTTAAATCAACTATCTTGAGTATCTCCCAAAAGATGTCTGGTTTAGACATTTATGATCTTCCCAAATCTCTTGAAACAAGCTTTCCTAAATGAAGATGATGTCCCATGGAAATCATACTTCTTTCACCTCCTCCAATTATTCTCCCTAACCCACAAGTTCCTGAAAAGTTTAAGGTCACTCAAGCCCTATTGGCAAGCAAAGGTCTATGTGTGATCACATCTTGGAGATGTAGTCACATATTGACAAGCCGGGAGAGTTGGGTGTCAAAGTCTTGAGAAAGTTGGTGGCTCAACTACTTTCTAAGTCACATAGTGAGTTCTTTTGGAACACCTATGAAACAGACTATGACAAGACCCTTAATGATCTTATCTATTTGCTAAGATCAACTTCCTAAAAACTTTATGGACATTGACAATGATGACACTGGGAATCCAAAAAAGCATTCTCTTCCCAATGGAAATGGATCGGCCATAGTCAACTCGGTTGACCAAATGGTAAAGAGAAAAGCTAAGTCTGAGATAGTCCCATTACCAAAGGGTCCATATGTTTATATTGCCAAAGAAAGGGGCATTGGTTGCGAAGCTGCCAAATTTACCTAAGGATGTTAAAGTCAATAAGTTTGACTCTACTTCAGGTAAAGTCCACTATCTAACTCTGCTAAGTTTCTATTCTGAGATTCTTGATACATGATGTGACTGGGTCACATGTTGATGTTTTAAGAATCAAAGAAAAGTGAAGAAACTTAAAGAAAGAATATGCTGAATCTGATCGCGTAGATGGATTTCTATCGCATAGTTTGAAGATCGGATTCTTGAGCTACTTCTTAGGAGTTATGATATTTTGCTTAGGAATAGATAACAACAAGTTTTCATATGGATTGTAAGGATAAGTTTTTCCGCAAAGTTTTAAAATAAAAGGTAAATCTTTTGATTTTATTTATTTTAAAATATCCTTACAATGGCATTTGTGAAAATCTGTGTTGCTTATAAGATTCCATTAAGAGCAAGAGTGGAAATATGAATTTGATTCTTTCATTTGTGGTAGTGTCTAAATTTACCAAATAAGGAAAGATTCTCATCACCCAAGTTTCAGTTGGATAGAAACTTGGAATCATGCAAGTTGTATAGCATGATGAATGAGAACTTTCGAGCATTGGAAAAATTAAGACTAACTACTTGTTCACATGGGTGTGTGAGTCAAGTGAAGGACTAAGGGATCGGGTACACATTCTTGTGCACTGGTCAGAGTCCACCACAAAAGATCGATAAGACTATTCGTCATAATTTACTATAGCTCAGTAAATATGGTTATACTTACAAGCTTAAGTGTAATTCTGAGACATTGGAAAAGGTTCCAATGTATGGCAGAGCGAATAAGAAGAATCAATTTAGGCAGAAAGATAAAAGTTTCTCAAATCTGAAAAGATGGGAGAGTACTTTAGTATCATGTTTTAAGACCATCTTAATGATTTTGAGACCTTATCACAATTCATCCTCTAAGTGCATTCTGATAGTTAAGAAGAGGAGTTATGAATTATTGAAGTGGTTAAATCAAGAAGATGATTCATACTTCGTTCCAAAAACAATTCTTAGAGTTATACTCTAAGATTGTAACTTGAGTGACATGTCTTAAAGAAGGTTTAAAACACTTATCAAATGTAAGAGTAAAAGTTTTCTACTCTTGTACATTTGAAATTGGTAAGTTGTGATGTTTTGGATAAAACAAAGACCAACTAAGGCCAATTGTGTGAAGTGTTTGTCTTGATTAGAATCCACACTATCTCTTGAATATCTGACAAGAAAGTCTTATATGTCAAGAGGACAGTGGGAGTCTTAAAGGTCTTGAAAGTCTCAAGAACTAATCAAGAATAAAACCTGAAGTTCTTCACTAGCACACGACTTGAGGTTTATAACCTATCGTGTTGACATATTCTGTGCCCATTCCAGTTAAAGTTGGCTTTGCATATGAGTTCTTAGAGTTCTCAATTGGTTGCACAACAACTTGGAAGCAATGGCAGGCCCTTGAGCTGCCAGGTGGCAAGAAATTAAGATTGAGTTCAGTCCATATGAGTTTGGATTTGTCATTATCCTTGTCTTGTGACTATGGTTTTGACAATTCACATGGATAAGAACACATACACCATTAAATCTAAGGGTCATAAGGTTTCTCTCCGATTCATGAAAATGATGGTGAGGAAACACTTCCACCAAGTAGATTTGAAGTAGATAGCAATTGTGATATTTGCATTCTCAAAGTCGTTAGTGGAGCTGTGTGGTTAACCGGCACACTAACATGGACTTGTGAGAAGTGGCAAAGGTCTAAACAATTGAGACTATGATTACGGCATCCCTTTTCATAGTTCTGAAATTGTTTAGACACACCTGTGAGCTATCTAAGATAAGGTGTATGATATTGATAAAGTTTTATCAAAGCAATCTAGTATCAGAAATCTGAACTTTGGTAAGAAAGTCAATAAAGTATTGTTTTTTCTAGAAGTTCAACTGATTTCTGAGTACATGTCAAAGCTAGTGGGAGCATAAGTGTTATGCTAATAATCATCATGTTAGTGGGAGCATGATAATTATGATAAAGGTTGCAAGTTAGCAATGTTAATTATAGAAAACAAAAGGTTTCAATTGGGAAAAAGTTGTTTTGCTATAATTAAGGGAGAGGAAATTATACTTCATCTCAAATCTAAAAGCTTAGATTGAGGTTTTAATCGTATTTAGTCAAGTATATATATGAATGTTATGTTGGAATGGCTCAACATAAGAAAATTCTAATATAGGGTCCATTATTTGCGTTCTAAAATTCGATTATGATTACGACATCCCTTTTCATAATCTGAATTATGAGAACTTGGCAAATTGAAATGGAAATATTATAGCAAAAGACTGGTTTAGTCTTTATGTGATACATCATGAATCGTGTCCCATATGCTTCGGATATAGGATCGATTGCATGTGCTATATTCATCCTTTCTAAAATTTTCCAAATGCCTGGGGCATTAAGAAGGGAAAAGGTCTAGAATTGGATATGACTAAAAGGATTAAACAATTGTCGAGGACAATCTAAGGTTTACCAAAGATTGGTTGCTCAAGGACAGTTGGAAGTATAATGATAATTCTGGAAGGACCATATTGACATAATCTGTAAGGAGGAAACTCTTGTTCAGAAGTGATAGTCAAAATGGAATATGGAAATGTTTCAAAGTTAGAAATTATTCAATCTGTGTAAGATTAGGAAACTTAATGCAAGAAGGATGTTTCCAAGGAGTTGATCTCCTTTGGAATGCTCTGTAATGTTTGTTGTCAAGTCTATCTGACTTTGTGCATAATCATTACAAGAGGATCAATGCATATAAGTTTAGAATCTAACAGATTTCAGTAAATGGCATGAATTTGGAATTCTTGCATTTGCAGTAAGGATTTGGGACTATGAAAAGAGGATCATTGGAGTTATGTTCAATTGATCTATTTCACAAAGTAAAGATCATAGACAAACATAGTATGCATACTTGGTGTATGGCATGACTAGTGTTTAGAAAACATAGTGTACATGCTTGGAGCATGGGACAACTATTGTTTTAAATTCAAGAATAAAGTTGATAGCTGAAACAGTATACAATGAATAATGTGTAATCATATGGTGATAAATAAAAGGTGTTTTATTTATGTTCATAGGTTTTGATACCATATTCGATTCAATTATTCTTGTGTTTCATTTTGCATGTTTTGACTTCCAGAATAAACTAGGTCATTGTTCTGGATGACTAAGTTATTCAAACCATCCACAGTCGGTCATATGTTGGAAGTAGATATGAATTAAGACTGTCATGGGTTGGCTTGTAGAGGTCTAAGATGTTGGACAAAGGGCTACAACACTCATGAGTGCTCATAAGTTCTGAGTATTGGATTCAACCCGTGCTCATTGGAATCACTTCATGGATTTTATCACGAGTGATCATGAGACGATAATATCTTATATTCTTAAACCTAGAGATATGAGTTGTTACTATGAGTTGGTTATACATTGATTGCACGAAAACGCATTGGTAACTCGATGTTATAAAACGTGCCTTTGTGTATGATTCAACAAGTAGTAGAACAAGCCATATGAGTCGAAGTTTATCCATTCCTTTTACCTTCGGGATAAAAGCGATATCTGTGGGCCCCTCGATGATTTGGTGATGACAAACGTAAGTGCTCGGCCGGGCCTGGACTGATTTGATTTGTTCAATTAGTCAGTCGTCATAAATCGGAAATCGGGAAACAACAAATGGACAGAGAGAATGATTATAATCCATGTCTCAGTCCATATGATATCTAGAATGGAGGAATATATGATCCCTTATCTAATGGACATGTCATTTGATTTGTTCAGAGTTTGACAGCGGCTTTAAGAGCTACGATTGCTAGTCGGGATCTTGGAGTCATACTTGAATAATAGTTTTAGACTTATCCAAGTGGGAGACTGTTGGATTAGGTGTCTAAGCCCATAACTATTATTGGTATGTATTCGACCCGAGAGTAGCATGGTCCATTTGGGTTGCATATCATCAGGACAATTTGTTAGGATGGACTTTTGAGAGAAGGTTATTTATGGTTTATTATATATTATAAGTAATAATATATTAATATGAAATCATATGTTTTAATTAGTAGTGATCAAGAATTAATTTGGAATTAATTTAGTGGTCGAAAGAGACTAATTAAATCTATGGGGACTAATTATGATAATTAGTTATATTTATATGTGTTGGGCTTATGATCCATGTTGGACCAAGTTTATGTATGGATACATAAAGAGTTGGGCCACATGAACCATGGATCATAAAACCCATGGGTATGGATTTGGGTTATATCCATGACCCTAGAAATCCCACATATAAATAGATACTTCATTGCCCAAAATCGCCACTTGTATCTTTTTAGAGTTCATGGTGTCTTTTGTGTGCATGGAATTCTCTCTCAAGTTCATCCTTTGTCCATGGTGTGTTGTGATTCCATTTGAGGCTTCCACACTATTGGGGCTAAGCTCTTTAAGGCCAAATACACCAAGAATTCAAGCTCCATCAAAAGGTATGTCATGCTAACTAGTATATTATAATTTTATGTTAAATGCATGCTAGTTGTAAGATTAATACCTTGGAAACCATTTGCATGTATAATTAGTGAAAACATAGATCCAAGGTATTTAGGGTTGTATGTGCACCATAGGATGTTGTAGTATACCAAAACCCAACAGAGTGTAACATCGAAATGTATATTGTATACTAGTGTATGTTGTGGTACCTTGTGTTGGTCTAAGATAACAACCAGTCCATTACCAGCACCAAGATCCAAATCAGCAACCAAATTCTCAATGAACCAGGTCCAGTTGTCCTTATTCTCAATATCACAACTGCCCATGCTATTGGGTAGACATGGTTGTCTTTATCCCTCCCAATAGCAATTAAAATCTCCCCTTTAACATGTCCCTTCAAGAAACGACCATCTAGTCCTATTACCCTTCTACATCCTCTGTTCCATCCATCTCTGAAAGCCTTGAAGCGAACATAAAACCTTTTGAAATAGTTACACCCGGGATTAATTTCTACCCCCACCAAGCAAGTTGTACCCGGATTACTCAACCTAATTGCAACTGCATAGTCCTAAACCTTGGCATAGTGGTCTTCTAACTTCCCTTCTATCATGCCCATTATAGTAGCCCTTGCTCTGTGACATTGCCCAACATATACACTCACTGAAAACCTTTGTAGCACATCTGCTTGCATCTCTAGCAATGTCATCTTGGGCTTCATGATTACATCTTTCATGTAGTGTTTGGCTAACCAATTGCTAGTAACTAGGGAACCAAAATGATAATTCCTAGCACACAGATGAATTTCATTACAAAATTTAATCTGGAATGTCCTTTCATTGTACTTCCATCCAGATGCAACCCTAAATGGACACTGCATTTTTTATTATCACTGCTTCCACTACCACACTTAGCTATAACCCTCACTCTATCACCTTTTTCAAAATAAAGGTGGTACCCTCCATGGATTTCATAGTTAGTTAAAGCAAACCTGAGTTGAGCAGGGGATTCATAACAGTCTCCTAATCGGGGACTCATCTTTTTCCAGTCAACATTGGGATCATGCACCCTATAGTCCACACCAACATCTTCATCGTCCTCATCAAAGTGGGAATGGTCATTTTGTTGGACACCAGAAATGTCTCCATCATCTACCATTCCATAAATACTCCTCCTTAATATGTTTTCGTCACACAATAAGTTAAGAAAATGATCATCACCTAGTTTTGAGGGGGCTTTGAAAGTTTCTTCAGAAAAATCCAAGAAGCTAAAGTCAAATACATCATCATCAGAGTCAGAGTCTGGAAGGAATGTCTTCTCACGGAGCTTAGGCCCTTTACGCTTCTTAGTTCCAAAAGTAGAAGCCACCTGTTTCATCAAAAAAAAACTTGTTAGTCCAAACTTGGAACTCCATTGATGAAGATAACCACCCTCAGAATCATCAATTTCTTGTTTCCATACACGTACCTTTCTACTCTACCTTACTTCGCCAACGATTTCGGAGCTTCAAATAGTGAAATTGGGGGACTGTGAAACCCTTCTCAACTTCAAACCTTCTCGAATGCATGAAACCCTTTAGCAGTGATGGTTCGTGAAAGGTGATGGCAGGAGAATAGCTTAGTGGTGACCGGATGGTACAAGTTACCTGCTGGTGACCGGGTAAAAGCTCTCAAACAATAATTCCACGAAAATATCGTGGTCATAGTGAATGAAAAATTAAATTCAGGGCTTTTTCCATTTAGTGCCAAAAACTTGGGACTTTAGTGATAATAGTCCTTTATGTTACACCAACTAATGTGTATTATTCTATGAAATGATATTAACAAGAAGATAACATCACACGCCTTATAAACACTATAAGGAACTTGGAACTACAAACTAGGAGTAACTAACACTACTTCTAAACATTTATTGACTAAGCAAATGACTAGATAATGCAACACATTACGCGAACACCTCCATGATGAACAACTGCAAACCCAACATAGAAGCTAACAGTGTGTTTACTTGCGGAAAATGGGCCGTTTTCCAGAAAATTTTTCCAAGAAAAATGAGAATTTGGGAAACTCATTTAGTTCGTCTATTTTTCTAAAACTTTCACGGAAAATGAAAATTTTTTGTTTTCTAAAATTACAAAGAAATTGGAAATTTTTGGAAAACCGATAGAAAAATACACTTCTAAACACGTTTTCTAATTTTCTAAAACTAAAAATGAAAAAATGAAGAAGTTTTAACTAAACTCGTTTTCTAAATTTTCCAATGAAAACTAAAAACGGATAACAAAAACTGAAAAGGAAAAACAAAAAATGGAAAATGTAAACTGTTTTTACGTAACTAAACGCAACCTAAGTCTTCCTTATTGTCTTCGACTTCCCCTTCCTCTTCCTCTTCCTCTTCCTCTTCCTCTTCCTCCTCTTTCTCTTTCTCTTTCTTCTTCTCCACCCAGCCCCCGTTACAGTTGGTCGTGAACTCCTCAGTGTTATCCCCCAAACGCTGCATCCATAAATTAAATAAACTATTTATTAATCAATGGATCGATATTATAGCATGCTAAACTTGTCATTGACTTCTAATTGGAGAAATTACTTACTCCCTTCCACACGATTCTAGGACCCATGAATAAGTCATATTTCAGATTGAAGTCCCCAACCACTTTGATAGTTGTGCAGACGTCAGTCACGACCTTATTCTCTTCGCCCTCCTCAGAATGCTTCACATAATCCTTCACAAACTCCTCCTCCAAGACAACCCCCAGAACCTCCTTGATCTTAATCGACTTTCCACATCAATGGGCTTCCCAAACATGAATTTATTGCCTTGTTTTTATTATTATTTATTAGTGTCATCCACTACAATTAATTATTAATCGTATATAAATATGATACTGCTTATGTGGAAAGTCGATTACGATCCAGAGGTTGTCTCGAAGGAGGATTTTGTGAAGGATTATCTGAAGCATTCTAAGGACGAAGAGAACAGGGTGGTGACTGATGTCTGCACAACTATCAAAGTGGTTGGGGACTTTAATCTGAAATATGACTTATTCATGGGTCCTGGAATCGTGTGGAAGGCAGTAAGTAATTTCTCCAATTAGAAGTTAATGACAAGTTTAGCATGCCATAATATCGATCAACTGATTAATAAATACTGTATTTAATTTATAGATGCATCATTTGGGGGATAACACTGAGGAGTTCACGACCAACTGTAACGGGGGCTGGGTGCAGAAGAAGAAAGAGAAAGAGAAAGAAAAAGAGAAAGAGGAAGAGGAAGAGAAAGAGGAAGAGGAAGAGGAAGAGGAAGACTTAGCTTTTGTGTCCGGTTTGCAATTGTACATCATGGAGGTGTTTGAGTAATGTGTTGTCGTTTTCATATACAAAATTAAGTTCAAATTCTAAAGGTCATGGATAGCCCATTGATTCTGAGCGCTCTCCATGTTACGCAACGATGTTATAAGTCCTCTTGGTAACCATTCGGGAAAGTGGGTGTGTGGGTGTGCCTAAGGTGAGGAATGCGTATATTTTAGAAGACTCATTCCATTATAGGTATACGAACAAAAAAGCAAAATAATATACTCGTATCGGAAAAAATTTCTTGTTGATAAGCAAAATTTAAAAATTAAGGATAAAAAGTTTAAAGGCATCCAAATCACTCTAATGAGTTCGACCATTTTAAATATAAAACATCCTAAAAGTAAATCACTTTAATGAGTTTGACCATTTTAAATATAAAATATCCTAAAAGTTTTATTCAATCTATTTAAAATAGTTTTGGTAATCATAACTAACTACAATATTAATTTTTTTTGGACATGAAGAATATAAAAAGACTAAATCTACTCTAATACATGAAGGTTTTTTTTTTGTCACATGTCACACTGTCATTCAATTTGCCAATTGTAATTTTATGATTATTATGAAATTAATTTTTTTTTCTACATGTCATTTTATGAGTTTTTCTATTTTATTAAATTCATATAATATTTTAATACAATAATTGCAATAAATGTAGTAATAAATGGATATCAATTTCATTAATGAACTTACCTTTTAATTTCAAAATTTCGAAATTAAAGTTCATTAGTTTCTTTTGTTTATTTATTTATATTATTTGTTTAAATTTAAAAGATAAAAAACATTTCAATTATAATAATTCATTATTTTTCTTATTTTCTTAAAAATTCAAAGTTCTCAAACATTTTAACCTTATATTTATTTATTTTTTAAAATTAACCCATGTAATACACATGTCTCATAACTAGTATTATATATAATCCAAATTAAAAATTAAGTAAAGCCATGGTTTTAAAAATCGTTCCAAATCAGAAAGTGACTAAACATATATGAGGTGGACACCTCGGGGGATTTGGGTCCATGTATATATATATATATATATATATATATATATATATATATATATATATATAGGCTTAAGTTATTCTATTCTAACTATTTATTGTATGGATGTAGGAATGATTGTGGCCCAATCATTTTACTTATTTTAAGAAAGTGATTAATACCTATGTTTGAATTAAATATATTTGAAAAATACCATCTAATTTAATTGCAAGGGTATTTTAGTCAATTAATATAGATTTAATAAAGGAAAATTGCTTATTTTAAGGGATCATAGATTGTATTAGTTTTAAAAATCCGATTTTACGAATTATAATTATTTTAATTCGGAAATTCTGACAGAATATGTTTATGAGTGTATTCAAAAATAAAAATATTCTTGAACCATAAAATAATAAAATATTCTTGAACCTATTTCTTGATCATGACTTTAAAAACTTGTTGTAGAATAATAAATTCTCGAACCATCAATTAAAGAATAAAAACAAAAATTACATTAATTCTTATAGAATACAGGTAACAATTGCTATCAATAATATTTATTGTTAATGAATAAACTAAAAAACTTTCAAATCGGGAAAAAACATCAAAATCTAACAAAAGACACTAATACATTCTAAAAGAATAATGTTGCTGAGAATCACATTTTCAATTTTGTGGTCTGTTCTTCAAGCATCAACTTTTGTGAAAACAAATCCAGTTGTAGTTTAGAATCCAATAACACATTAGCAAATGAAAAATAAAAAGCTAAATTCCTTTGGAAAAATATGCGGACTTGTGAATTGCACCAAAACCAATAACCAAATATTGTAGAACATGCATAAATCAGTGAGAAAATATCCATATTCCATTCCCACAAAATTGTAATATGTGTTTCCATTTTGATAGAATTGAAATTCGTGATTCCATTCCGATAGAATTGGAATTGTATAAAATACAAAAACTTTAGTGTGTTTAACTTTGATTGGTCCACATATTTCTACGATAAAAAAACTTACAAAGTTTAGTGATTCATTTCAAAACATATTCTAGCATACAATACAAATTTAATGAGTAAGAATGCTTCTAAAATAAACACAAAAAATCTAATTAAAACAACATACACAAATCCATGGAGGAGGAGTAACTACTTTTGATTACTGAAGAATGAACAACAACCGTGACAACCTGAAATTTTTTGCTTGAAAGCTCAGTCATTTAACTCAACTCAGTGACAGACTCACTCTTGCTATCATTTAGCACAATTTAGAGCCTGTTTGAGTGTTCTGAGCCTAGTACACTTAAGGAATAAGTGTTAGAAAGTACCTGCTAGAGACTCTGTTGAACTAATCCAGCCTTAACCTCATCAAGAGGAGTTCACAGCCTCAAGTACTTGAGTTTACGGCCGTAAACTCAATGACGGCCGTAAACTCCCTTATATAGGCTCTTATTCTTCAACTTTCATTCATTATCTCATTCCAACCTCAAGAACACTCCATTTCTCTCTCAACTATCATCCCGATCTTCATTCTAGATCTTCAAAATTTGTAAGTATTATTCCTTGATTTGTTGATACACCTCTTAATCTAGCATCCTCTCATGATTTCATCCATGAAAATCATGTTTTCATAGGTCTTCAAGTTCCACCAAGAACACCAAGAACACACACTAGTGTTCATGGCCAAGATCGACCATTTCAAGCCTCTATATCGTAAGTACTCTTCCCTACACTTGTTATCTAGTTAGGACTCATGCTTAGAGCCTTGAAAACATCAAAAACACAAGGACAAAAGGAGTTTACGGCCAAGCCATCTACCATGGCCGTAAATCCCTTTAAGGGTGCCATTTTGGCCATAAACCCTTCCTAAGGCTTGGAATTGAGGCTAGAACACTCCCTTGTGCTTTGTAAGACCTTGAATCATCACCAAACTCATCATTTAGAGAGTTTACGGCCCAAGAGTAAACACCCTTGGCCATAAACTCCAAGTATGGTCAAGTTGTGGACCTTAATCACATTTAGGCTCTTGCCTAACCTTAGAACACTTGAACCCTTGAGACTCCTTACCTTTAAGACCCTAAATGTGACCATTTAGAGAGTTTACGGCCAGGAGTAAACTCCCTTGGGCCGTAAACACTTCAACACTCTCCAATGAGTGGGTCTTTCTCATCCTCTAGTAGAGCAAAAGTCCCTCAAGCTTCCCTAGTCTTCAAACAACCTCATATGCATCTTTGA